TGGGATTACAGGCTTGAGCCACCGCGCCCGGCCGAACTCTAGTCTTAGAGTTGTGCCTCGGTGTCCACATTTGATAGTGAGGATGATTATAGCATCTAACACATCGAGTTGTTTGGGAGGAGTAACTGAGCCAATATGTGTAAAATAATGTTACTGCTGCTGGATAAGGATGATGATGTGGCTGAAGCTAATGCTTTCTGTCTGCAAAGATGCTTTTTCCAAAACACACCATATTGCCTCTTTACACATTTTCAGGAGAGGGTAGAGGCTGTATTTTCCTTGCAGGCACAGTGTTGTGGTAGAAAGCACACTTTTAGAGTTAGACGGGTGTGGATTCAAATGCCATTTCAGCCATTTATTAGTTTCTTCATTTTGTCCATAAAAGGAAGAATGTAATGCTGGGCTTGCAGTTTTGTCCTGCGGGTCAAATAAAATGATGTAATAATAGAAGCAAAGCTCAGAGGTTGGTTAAGAGACAACTTCCGCAAAGATAGTTGAATTTCACGCTTGTGAGCAGAGAATCGAGGAGACCGTTGTAGATTTATCCTACTCGACCTAATTTGTGGTTCAGGACAGTGTTGTGAGTTCAAGAGCAGAGGGTAGATGCAAAAAGTCATAATCTTTCCTAGGTTCTCTGATCTTGGGAAGGGGCGAGTGGCTCTAGTTTCCCTTTAACATCCCACTGTGTGAGTGTGTCTATATGTACATGCATCAGTATTTGCTTATGGAGGAAAGGAAGGAAAAGGACCAAACAGGTACAAAGCCAGCCATCTCTCAGGCTTTCTTCTATACCATTTTTACTTTCTCACATTTATTAATCTGCCAGAGAGAAATTTAGAAGATGATGAAATGGCCAGTTCTGACTCTGAACCAAGCCTCTGAAGTCATACACCATTATACTCTTGGTCACAAAATCAGCTGTGAGTCTAAGTAGGTGGAGGCTACACAAGAGTATACATACCAGGAGGCAGGGATCATTCAGGGTCCACTTAGAAGGTGGCTTCCAGTTTCTTCCTTTTAAGAGTATGAGAATGCTCTGAGCTGGCCTCTCCATTCCATGGAATCCATAGGTCTTTAGTCAGCCATTTCCCAGTACACATTCCTGTGCCAAAGCACATGCAGAGTTCCAGTAGCTCCCTCTCCTGTTAACCATCACCCCGCCACACCCAGCCATATCCATCCTTCTGCCAGATTCCTTCTATTTCAGGATCACCCATTATCACTCAAATGTGATCAACTGTGGGGAGGTGGGCCATATTCTGTTGTGCATAGTAATCCAAGCAAGGAATCACACAACGAAGTGGGCTCTAACCCAATCTTAGCCACTTACTCTCTGAATGACCCTGGGCACCTCCCCCGATTTTTCTGACCTAAAATCTGTGCACTATAATAATAATAAATTTCCATGGAGGAAGAATAACCTTTTCAACAAACAGTGCTGCAGCAACTGGACATCCATAGCCAAGAAAGAAAAAGGATAAAAGGCTTTTCTCCAGTACTAATCCAGGAGAAAAATACATGTATTGCATCTTCCTTGTGACAATTGAGGATAGAATACGTGTGGTCTTCTCTCTCTGAGGACTTTTTTTTTTTTTT